GAGCGGGGGGCGGGGTAGGCCGTGGGGCTGGTGTGGTGAGTGCGCCCTGTGCCCCTGCAGTGTGATCCGGCTGATCATGCAGTACCTGAAGGAGAACAGCCTGCACCGAGCCCTCGCCACCCTTCAGGAGGAAACGACGGTGTCCCTCAACACTGTGGACAGCATTGAGAGCTTTGTGGCTGACATCAACAGCGGGCACTGGGACACCGTGCTGCAAGCCATACAGTCGCTGAAGCTGCCCGACAAGACCCTGATTGATCTCTATGAGCAGGTGAGGCAGGGCAGGCTCTGTACGGGCTGTTCTGGTCTGGGTGGAAGCCCCTCTCTGGAGTGTTGCTTAGCCTTTGCTGATGCAGATGTTTGTCTCTTGATGCAGGTTGTGCTGGAGCTGATTGAGCTCCGGGAGCTAGGTGCTGCCAGGTCTCTCCTGAGACAAACAGATCCCATGATCATGCTAAAACAAACTCAGCCGGAGCGGTACATCCACCTCGAAAACCTTCTGGCCAGATCTTACTTTGATCCTCGTGAGGTATGTTATGCTTTTCCTAGAGACCGCATGATGCTGCCTTGCGTGACCCCTAGCATCGGTCCAAGTCGCTAACAGCTTACAGCATCTTTTCTTTTCCATGCTGGGAGCGAGAACGTGCAGCTTCCTAGTTTGACGATTTTACATGTTTTATGAAGTGTTTGGGAAATGATGTGTAGCTCTTGATCATGAGGCATCATGAGCGGTGGTTCTGAAGTAATACTGCAGGTGGCAGTTTGGGCATTTATACCTGTATCCTGCCACAGGATGACACCTGTGCCTTGCTTTTCCTGTCTGACAGATGCAAAAGAAAATGTACGTTTTGTAAATAAAATTGTTCTTGTATAATAACAATAAAAACGAGATAACAAGGCATTATTTCTGACTGATTATGTCAATCTGACATTTCTAGTGGAAGCATATCCCAAATGTTTGAAGGGTTGGTGTTAAAGGGAAGGGCTGTTTTGAAGGCCTAATAGAAAATTAATTTGGAAGGGGCTTCAATTCAGAGCAATGAATGTGTTTATGCAAAATGGTTTTGAAGAATCACTTCATAAAAATAACTTCTCTCTAGGCATACCCAGATGGAAGTAGCAAAGAGAAGCGGAGAGCTGCTATTGCACAAGCTTTAGCTGGAGAAGTCAGCGTCGTACCTCCATCTCGTCTTATGGCGTTGTTGGGGCAGGTAATTCTTGAAGAATGTTTTAGTAGCTATGTCAGTTTCTGCAGATCTTTGCCACGTAAAACTAACTGTGATGTAGTTGATTCCCCAACTCTATAAAAGTAAAGCTCTAAATATTGCACATTTACATGTGGTATAGTGAAAGTGATATTTTCTCCATGTGGCAAGGATTTAGTGGTTGTAGGAAAAGACAGCACTCCAGCAGTAGATTTCTTCCCATAGCATAAATACTCAGCGCATAGAGAAGATTATTTTCAAAGAACATACTACACACACAGTTTCTGTTGTCGTACTTGCAGCTTTCTTTTGATTCTCAGAAGGTATTCATTGATACTCTATGCAGACAGAATTTCATGATTTTGCTGGCTTATGGCTTACATCTTCCTTTTTAAGCTTGTACGTATGCCGAATAAATTCTCTCAGCATAACAGGTGTGTCCTGTGACTGAAGGCAGCTCTCTGCTAAAGGGGTTTTATAAGATTCTGTCTTTTGAACAAAGTTCATTTGTGCCTTCCAAGAAAGCTTATGTGTTGTTTTTAATTTTAATGTATGCAGTTCTAGGCAAATAGACAATAGGTCAGGTAATTTAAATTAACACAAGATTGAACTCACAGTGCATACTGAAGGTAGAATGAGAAGAGTGGGCCTGAGTCATTCTCCCTCGCAAAAATCGTTTGGGGATAATGTTCTGTTCTGTTTGTTATGAGTTAGGAAGCATAATCTGGTAAGTCTTGTTTCAAGTAATTGTTTGCGGTGTATTTGTCTCAAACTGTGCAGGTATACGATTTGTAAGGGTACAAGAAACTATTGCTGTGTTGTGCTAATTAGAAGCAAGTTCTGATGAGGAAGGTGTATGTTAACTGATACCTAACTGTATGGCTTTCAACTCCTCAAAAGGCATTGAAATGGCAGCAGCATCAGGGCCTGCTTCCGCCTGGTATGACAATTGACTTGTTCAGAGGCAAAGCAGCTGTGAAAGATGTAGAAGAAGAAAAGTTCCCCACACAGCTGAGCAGACATATTAAGGTGATGTTTTGTTTGCTTTTATGTGTGTTACTGCTGCTTGTTCCTTCCTGTGCTTTATGTTGGGAGGTAGGAGTAAACCTTCTGAATTCTTCTGTTCTCTTTTTTGTAAGTAATTTCCCTCTCTCTCTTTTTTTTCTTTTCGTTCTTCTCCATGCTTTATCTCATCACAACACTTCTCATGAGAGTCTGAAATGAGGTCCCTTAACAAGATTGGGTGCTCATGGTATTTGTGAATATGATAAATGTATTAATTGTTTCTTTGACTTCACACTCCAGAATCATTCAGTTTTCAGAAGTGGTTTGCTTAGTCCGCTTCTTTATTTGTGCAAGGAGATACTCATATCTTAAACTTCTGTGCGTGCATATTAGCTTCTGTGAATCACTTAAGTTTTGATTGTGAACTACTACATACCAGGTCTACTAATATGATCAGTGTCTCCTTTTTAAGGATTTTATCATACAGATTTCAAAAGAGAAGGATAGCTGTGCTGTAATGACATAGTTGTCCTGCAGCACTCACAATATGGAATAGGCAGCTTCCTCCGGTGAAGGCTTTTCGCCTTCACCAAGCAGTTCTGTACAGTGAGAAGTGTTAGTTCACTGTAGTAGCTCTACCAGTTCTCACAATGAACAGAAGAGAATGTTTTTCAGAAGTCATGAGTTGGAACTTGTGAAATCAATTTGTTGTGTTCAGTAACAGCTTGGTAAAAATGCTTTATTAGAACTTGTTTACCCGTACTGATCTTGGATTTTTGTATTGATTAGTGAAAACTTTTTCCTATACTCAGTTGTCACGGTCACTTGTATTTAAAAATTAAAAATTTAAAAATTGTATAGAAAAAATACAAAACATTCTCTGTGAAAATGTCGCTGGAGAAACATCATCCCAAGTGAAGCAACTTGTACTACTTCAGAAATTTCTGAAGTCTGCTAGGGATATATGTTGGGTATTGGAAAGGTGTTTGTTAACATACATGTTCACTGCAAAAACAAAAATATGAAGACAACCAACCTAACTGCTGCTGTAAGCATGGAGTGTTTGGTGTAAGTTTCACAGATATTACCAGATCAAAAGGAGGGGGTTTTGTTTGTTTTTGAAGTGCTAGTATGTAGGTATTAATAGTTTTTTTTGTGCCTTGACATTACACATGGTGATTTTGTGATGATGGATTTGTGAATCCATACCTCTAGAAAATACTATAATTTTGCCACCAAAAGGAGGCTACAGTTTTGTTTTAATGAGTTGCTTCTCATAAATTGCTTACTAGACTTAATTTTATATTCTCCTAAAAACAGTTTGGGCAGAAGTCGCATGTGGAGTGTGCTCGGTTTTCCCCAGATGGGCAGTATCTGGTTACTGGCTCTGTTGATGGCTTCATTGAAGTATGGAACTTCACGACTGGAAAGATTAGGAAGGTAAATCGCGCCTTATTTCACACGGATAATTCATTGGCCAGAGCACCTGGTTTTATTCTTTGAGATTATACTTTGTTTTCATTTCTCAGGGACTGTGAATCTGAAAAGGATGTCTGCTTGGGTGATTCAAATATCAGTCTGGAATCTTTACATGGGTTTAATTGTCTAGTTTGTCATAGACTTCTGTCTGCGATAACTTTTTTGTTTGTTTGTTTTACCTTTCTGGATCATCGTTGTTGCCTCTAAAATGGTGACGATAGCACTTCCCTGTTTTTATGAGGTTGTGAGGTCTGCTTGATGATAGGTTATAAAATATAACTGAAGTTAAAACTGCTAGTACTTTTGCACTTTGCCTTAAAATATTTTTTATTAAATTCACTATTTTGACTGGTGGATCTTCCGCTTTCATTTAGGATCTGAAGTACCAGGCACAAGATAATTTTATGATGATGGATGATGCAGTGCTGTGCATGTGCTTCAGTAGAGATACAGAAATGCTAGCAACCGGGGCACAAGACGGAAAGATCAAGGTACAAATCTTTTCATATGGTATGTTAGTAGAGGTGGTGACCAGAAGGATTCACTTTCAATTGCAGTAATGTTGCAATTCTGTATAAAAAACAAATGAAGTTTAGCATGGTTCAGAAAGAGATACCTGTTGGCTCTGATGTTGAAGCTTCTGTGATCCCGTAACAAAGTAACCACCTCTGTTTCATTTGCTCTTTCCTCTCCAGGTGTGGAAAATCCAGAGTGGTCAGTGTCTGAGAAGATTTGAACGAGCTCACAGTAAAGGTGTTACATGCCTCAGTTTCTCTAAAGACAGCAGCCAGATTCTTAGTGCTTCTTTTGATCAGACAATCAGGTAAATAAACTGAATGTGTGAGCTACAGTGCAGGAGAAAAGAAAACAGAATTTCCACATTAAGCAGTTAAACTTTTGAATATAGATTCATTTGACCTGGGATTTGATCCCCTTGCATTGAGTTTTAATACTATAGGACAGCATGTCTCTTGAGGGTTGGAGAGGAACAGTTTGAAAGTTTGACCTTGCTTAACTTGTATTATTCCAGGGCTAGAGGCCATGTACTTCTTCTGGTCTAGTGTCATTTACATTGACCTTGCCTGTTTTCTTTCTTGGGAGACTCCTAGCTTAAGAAACAGTTGTGTCAACCTTCAAAAATAACATTTTTTTATAATAAGCTTAGGGTAAAAAAGATCTGAGGATAACAGGATGATGACATTTTTTGAAACAGCCTAAACAGCCTAATTGTGCTCATTAGCTTTAGTAGACAACAGGACAGTAGTTGGTTCTATCCAGTGTATTTTCTGTGTGAAGCAATATTATGGGCTCTTCTTTTTGTACTATCTAAAGAAGTCCTCTGAGAGCAGCTTTAAGTATTTTGGTACATCTTCTCTGCTTCCTCCTGATAGTTGTTGAACAGAGCAAAATTTCCAAAAGTCCAAAAGTGCTTGGGGATCTCGATTAGCAACAGTCATGGCTCTCCCGTGGGCTTGAATAAGGGTCTGTGTGTCCCTGCGAGCTGCATGTAGGTGAGAGGAGATAGGGTGCATCCCTACACATTCATGAACAATCACTTTGCATCCTGTTGGTGCTCCTGAAGTCATGTGTTGCCAGCCCACACCCTGAATCCATCTCTGTAATCCCAGCCCCCAGATCCACCCCTCTGTCTCTTGGATCCAGAGAACTCCCTTTAGAGTGGGAACAAGGGGAAGAAGGACCCAAAGAAAATGTTTTCTCGACATCTATTCTTCCCAGCAGTCTGACATGGAATACTAGAGATACAACCCTGGAAGACAGCCAGGCTGATAGACCCTGAGAGCTGCAAGAGCGGGAGTTGCAATTCATATCTGGAAATGGCAGTACAGCCTTTCCTGTGCTTTAGGGTGCTGGTTTTTGACCTGAGTATCTCTCCAGATGTACGTGGTGTATAAGGGAAGGCTGAGAGAGCTGGGCCTGATCAGCCTGGAAAAAGAAGGCTGAGAAGGGACCTAGTTGCCTCATCTAGAGGTAGTCATAGATAAGACAATGCCAGACTCCTCTCAAGTGCACAGTTCCTACAAGGGACAACCTCCAGGAAGTGAAATTCTGATTGTATATACAGAAAAACTTCTCTTTTTTCCTCTTGAGAAAGAAGCAGAGCTTGGACAATACTGAGAGAGTTGCGTCAGGCTGGGGGCGGATCGCAACTCTTGAGGACTTTCTAAGCTAAATTGAACAAGACCATGAGTGACTTGGAAGTTGACATTGCTTTGAGGAGAGCAGTGGAATAGAGGTCTTCTGAGGTCTCTTCCAGCCTAAGTTATTCTGTGGTTCTCTGACATGTACCATTGTTTTGGAATCTCTGTTAGAGAAAAATCATGCAGCCAGATGGTTTATACATTTATGCTGGCAAGAGAAAAAAAAATATTTTCAGTGATGAAAAAGAGCCATAGAGACAGGATAATTTTTCTCTTCACTCCCAAAAGATACTTCCCATTTCTCCAGGCTGTCTCTGCAGTTCTGCTTTTGGGCGTGGGAATTCTTTCCATTTGTAATGCAAACCATCCTTTGCTGTGTAGCACCAGCATTGTGTTGGGATATGAGCTGTGGGGGTTTTTTTAACCAATCTGTATAGCTCAGTATCCCAGTGTCTGTGGGAACATTCCTTTTGGGCAGTCAAACTGTTCATGATGTTGAAGGCTTGCAAGCTGAGATGTTGGGAACCCAGGACTGGGAGCTGAGTCTTTCTACAAACTTTGGAGTTGCTTTGGTGCGCAATCCAGTTAGTGTAGTTCAGCAAGTTGATAATGTGTCGGCTCAGTTACAGCAGTTGGATATGAGGTCTGTCTGCAGAAAATCCAAGGAATTACATCCCTCTTAATGTGGTTGGGCTAAACTGAACACACTTGGCATTACGTGACACTTTCCACGTGCTAAGACTTACGTGCGTACAGTTACTGCAGCTTACCTGGTGTGCAGATGATCTGTTAAGCCGCAACACGATAAAGCAATGGATTGTTGTGGGACAGGTATGAAGGTGGTTAGGCTTGCATCTGTGCTCTAAGAAAGCTCAAGTGTCTGTGCAACCTGTGTAAGGCAGGCTAGACATAAATTATAAAAGACTAATTTAGGAGGTACCTCTAGAGGTCTCTAGTCTCATATGCTTCTCTGAGCATAGCCAACCTTTCAGTTAGGACAGCTTGCTCAGGGCCTTGTCCAGCTGAGTTCTCAAAATCTCCATGGGTGGAGACCCCACTGCTTCCCTTGGCATCTGTCCTAGGGCTGTACAACCCTCTCAGAGAAAATCCTGTTTGGACATAAGGAAAAATGTTTTTGTTTTGTTTTCCTTTGTAACTTGTGTCCTTTGCCTCTTGTCCTTTAGCTGTACACCTCTGAGAAGAATATGACTCCATTTATTCTGTAAAAACTGTTAGGTAGTGATGTTAACTAAATAGTTACAATTTTTCAGGTGTTTAGTAAGGACTTAGATATCCTTTTTTTTTCTTTTAAAGGATCATTGCAGGGTGGATAAAAGCAAGAATGAAAGTTAATTGTAACTTTTAATACTAGCAAATAGTCACAAAAATACTCAAACTCTGTTCTAATCTAAGTTACCAGATGGGCAGCAACCTCATCAAATCCTTGTTTCCGCAGCGCTTAGCATCTGGAAAGCGTTGTTTAACATTTATGTAGTGCAGTAATTCTGATCCTGCACCTATTTGGTGTCTTGTTACTGAGTGGAATTTGGTCACTGCTGGGTAGATTTGGTTTGCAGCAACGCTTTTCTATTGCTACGCAGAGACTTTGCTGCATTTGAAAGCAGCTTAGGTCAGTTTTGTCTAGCTCACAGTTATTTTTCTTCTTTGGGGTATTCTGACTTACTTAATAATTTGTTTAACTTTTTTGTCTACAGGGAAGACAGCAATTAGATGCTCCTGAACTTTCATTTCGCTGGGCTGTATGCACCCAGCCCTCTCAGCCTCTCCTCATGCATCATGTAGTCTAGCCCTCTGGCCATCTTAGTGGCCTCTTAGTGGGAGCCCCAAACTGGACACAGTCCTCCAGAGGTGGCTACACCTCTGCCAAGCAGAGGGCAACCTTAATCTGCAGACTGTGCCTCTCCTAATCCAGCTGGTGTGTGGCTGCGTTTCCTCAAAGCCACAGCACGCTGCTGGCTTTCACCTTGTTCCCTCTGGGCCTGCCAGGTCCTTTGCTGCAGACCTCCTCTGCAGCCGCTCAGCCCCCAGTTAATTCTCATGCCTGAGGTGGTTCTGCAACAATCTGTTCTCAACATCACGAGGTTTCTCTCAGTCCATCTGTCTGGTTGGTCAAGGTTTCCAACTTCCTTATCTGTCTTTTTCAAAATTGAGTTGCAGAATATGGGACTTACATTGTGAATCAGATTGATCCAGTGCTTGATGACTGTATACGTTTTATGTTTAATTGAATGGGATTGTATAATACATTTAATAGCTTTAGGCCCTTGCCTGTACTGTAAAACCCCATGATACTAATGTTACTGCTTTAGATGAAAATGAAGAAATGTGTGGATCTGCAGGCAACTGCCCAGTGAACACGTATTACAAAACATCTTAATGAGAGACGTTAATCTGTTTAAATCCTGATATATATGAACTATAGCATAAGCATTTTAAATGAAATTATGTAAGGTTGGATGTTGTATCAAGGACAGCAATTTTCAAATGGAACAAGGAATTTCATTCTCAAGGCTTCAGACTTCTGTTTGAAAACTGTATTTCTGTAGCCAGTAGGTACTGCAGTTTAAGGGTGATAGAGATTAGCCGTATAATTTCCTTATAGATGACCAAGCAAACTCTTTGCAGAGTTGCACACTAAGAGGCAATGGGAGCAGCTTGCAAAAGAGAAAAATTCTGGCTGAGTGTAAGGAAAGAATTTTCCTTAACTCAACTGGACAAGGCCTTGGTCAAGGCCCTGAGCAAGCTGACCTCACTTAAAGTTGAGGAGTCTATTGGACTAGAGACTTTCAAACGTAATTCCGTAATTTTTGTTTTGTTAGCTTCCTAGTTTCCCCTTTCATAGTCCTGTCTTCTAATATGTATAGTGTATATTACATACATAGCCTTGAGGCTGAAGGTTGATGGTATTTCCCTAAGCTTTTCACAGGAATACATAATGCCTTTGATGAAAGGGGCTTGTGATAAAGAGTTAAGAGTTGCAGACTTTTAGCACTTTTTATTGTTGCCTATCAAAGGTATCCCGCATTTAAAATACGGTGAAGGCAGAGAGTGGTTCAGACTACCTCAGTTGCTCACTCAGTTGTGACCTCTGTTGTGTGACAGGATTCATGGTTTAAAATCTGGGAAGACTTTAAAGGAATTCCGTGGTCATTCTTCCTTCGTCAATGAAGCTACTTTTACCCAGGACGGCCACTATATTATCAGTGCGTCTTCTGATGGCACAGTGAAGGTAAGATAGCATTTACCCTTTGTAAATAACACATTCAGACTATTTGCATGTTGTAGCTGATTCGTTATAACTGCTGCAGTCATTGGAGAAGGACTTGGGGTTATCTGCAATAATATGTCTTTCTGCTTGTGACCTTTGCTGTAAATTGGTGTAAGTGAGAACTGATGAAGTTTCATACTGTGCTTACAGACTGCTGCAGAGCCTGCTTCTGCTGTATTTATGAAAGGAGGACATAAGTGCAGTACTTATCTGCCTGCTCCTGCATTGTTCTAGAAATAGAATTGACCGTGACGCCTCTTGTCCTGGAATGTGGGGATTCCCTTGTCTGAAATAATGGCATTTTCTTGCTTACTGTGTTGGACGCCTGTTTATTTCTTGGTGCTTAGGAGTCCCTTGTTGTGTAAGCTAGGTAATCTAGCATTAATGACACTGGTTGTAGAAATGATAGGTTTGGCTTCTAGTCTCAGCAAAGAGTGGAACTACTCAGTATGTAGCAGTTAAGAGGAGTAAAGCATTGTTGTGTATAGGGCATTATTGACTACTAATAAATAAATGAATACAGAAACAGCTACATTAAGTAGGACATAGATGCAGTGCATGGGGGGGTGGGTAAACAGGTCTGGTTTATAGATATGGCCTAGGAGAGTGTGATAGATTTTGCTGATATTAAATGGGGCGTTACTTCAAACTTGCAGTCTTTGCTAGACTGCCCCAATCATGGGAGTAGCATAAGAAGGCGGTATCTTTCATTTTGATTGTAGTGGTATGTAAACAGCAAAAATATTCCACAGATGGCGAGTTACATTTTATTTTAAATATTAAACAAGCAGGTCCATTTCCTGTTTACAAACAGCTAGACCAGCCTGGTGTTGAGCCTGAAGCAGCTCTAAGCTGGGATATCTCTCCCACCAGTATCAGTGAGGCTTTGCTTTTTCAGCAGTTGTCGTGCCTGTCCTTTGTAAGGGAAACTGTGTGTGCAGAGGCTGCACATGTATTCACAGATACCAGCTAAAACCAGAAAGCAAGTCTGGACTCACCCCTCAGGGAATATGCTTAATGAAAGGGAGCCAGGCTGAATGTGGATAATGGAAATTCACTTTCAGTTCAGTTGTAGTAAAATTGCTCATGGTGTCCACACTTCAAAATAGGTTTGATTTTTTTTTTTTTTTAAATCTGCTTTAAACTACAATTTTTGGAATTCATATTTCCCTTCAGGAGCCTTAAGAAATCTGAATCCTCTATCCTGAATGAGCTCGTTGTTTAATTTTTTTAAAGCTAATTGGTTTTACATTTATTTTTCATACTAGGTTTGGAACGTGAAGACGACAGAGTGCTCAAACACCTTCAAATCTCTTGGCAGCACTGCTGGGACAGACATTACTGTGAACAGTGTCATTCTGCTGCCTAAAAACCCGGAACACTTTGTTGTTTGCAACAGATCAAATACAGTCGTCATTATGAATATGCAAGGACAAGTATGTGGTCTTACTGGTGTCCTTTCAAGTCTCTCTCAGTCATTTTAAGAATGCCAAAAACCTAGTTAATAACCTAGCCTTGGGTTAAACCTGATTTCTCCAGTTTGCTTTCATGAGAGTCTTCTCTGTACCCAGGTTATAGAACAGCTTGACTCGCAGAAAGCAGTTGCAGCTATGGAGAGGTCCTGTGTTCTAAACAGACCTAGTGCTGCCTAAATATTTTTGTCCTGGAGGTAGTAATGATGTGCTGCAGTTTAATCCTGACAAATATTTTTGTGGGGGTATCTTTACAGATTGTAAGAAGTTTTAGCTCCGGTAAGAGAGAAGGTGGTGACTTTGTCTGCTGTGCACTTTCACCTCGTGGTGAATGGATCTACTGTGTTGGTGAAGATTTTGTGCTCTATTGCTTTAGCACAGTGACCGGCAAGCTGGAGAGAACTCTGACTGTAAGTTCTTAGCTTTGAGCTTTCGCAGACTTCTAAACACAAGGATGATTGAAATGTTTGTTATTTATAAAGTCTGTAAGGAGAAGTCTTGTACCAAGGAATCTTTCACCTCTCGCAGCCATGATTGGTAACAAATGCGTTCCAGAACACTTGGCTGTAGAATGTCTTTATTTTTTTTAGAACCATTTTAATTTTAAAAGTTACAAAAATGTTTACTCACCAAGCCAAGAGTGAATTGGTTCAAACTTACTTGAACTAGAGCATGTCTTGACCTAGGCTCCGGCTGATGGAGAATCTGACCAAGCTGTTAGATTTAAAGCTGTCAGGCTTCAATTTGCTGTGGATTAAACTAAAGAGGAGTACCAGCTTGAATGTCTAAATTTAATGGGGAACACTTAGATGTCGTGGATTTCAGTGGATGTAAACCTTCACTGAACCTTCCGTCACCCCAGAAAAAGTAACTGCTAAGTCACAAAAATTGTTTGCAACTGGAACTTTATACTGGGGGGCATGTGCCTCTGCTTTTGCTGTATGCACAAAGCATGTTAAACCTCAGTGCAGCTTTCCTGTAGTTCTTGTTTGAAGAGGATATTTGGCTTGAATCTGCTAAAGGAAGAACCTTCTGATGCATTTTTCTGCTTATTCTCTAGGTTCATGAAAAAGATGTCATTGGCATTGCTCATCACCCCCACCAGAACCTGATTGCGACTTACAGTGAAGATGGCCTCCTCAAGCTCTGGAAGCCATAGCTTGATTTTACAATGAGCTATGAAGTGTGCCTGTTAGTTGCACGTTATTGATGTTTGTGTTTTAACAAGGTCTAAATGCACAGGATGTGATTTTTGCTCATTTTTCAGTTCAGGTTTCCAGAGAATGAGATTTTTACTTCTTGGTCTAAAGTTAGGTAGATTGATGCTTAAATATAGCATCAGTTAATTTCAGATACTTTTTATTTTTACCAGAGTAGCAGAAGCAATTTCAGCTAGAGTGTTTTTCCTGTCTTCTGAAGTCTGTACTGTTCCTACAGTGTTTATAAAAGTTGAATGAGCTAGGAACTATACACACTTACAAGTCGTTGCTGACTTCCTAGAATACAGTAAAATGCTTTTTTTATTTGAGTGAATTATGTGGAATGGGAAAGCTGTCTCTTCTCCACTGCTGAAGCAAAGACACAGTTTTTACTGGAATGCAGATGAGCCTACTCTGTCCTCGGCTTGAAGGCAGAGGCTTTTCTAGTCCAGTAGGTTTTGCCGTGTTCAATTTTCACTATAATTTTTCCAATTATAGATATTAAGTAGTGTGACACAGCTTCCTCAGAACGAAACTATTCTTTCCCATCTCCCAGCACTTCCTGCTATAAACCTGCCTAACATGGCAGTCAGATATAGGGGTTTTTGTTTTGTTTGTTTGTTTTTGTGGGTTTTTTGTTTCTTTTGTTTGGGGTTTTTTTTGTTTGGTTTTATTTTGTTTTACTTCAAGGCTAAAAAGAATTATTACCTGGGCCCTCTTCCTGTAAGTGCATGTCTTCAGACCAGCTTTAACTGAAGCAGGCCTCAGGGGATCAATATTTTTGAACATGCAAAAGCCGGTTTACATAGGCCGAGTTCCTAGTGCTGTGATGCTGCACATGCTGCAGTTGTTCTGTTTTTTTCCAGTTTATTCAGTTTAACTTTCTGTTTTCCCAAAAGGGAATGGCATACTTAAGCTTTAAATAATTATTTAAGATTGCTTTTTAAATTCATATATCTGTGGACCTAGTTAAGGTGATACTTCGGTCCCACGCTATGATAAAAAGAAGCTTTCAGGCTCTTCAGTTTTGAGCAGATGATGGTCCTGACTAATGCATACTGTTGTGAATGTACACCAGAATATTCTCAAGTCTGACCATGGTTTTTCTAGGATGCAGCAAAAAATGAGGTTTTGTCTGTAATGAGACAAACGCATGTAGATTTGAATCCGCCGCGCTGTTTCCTGTCCTCATCTCTTGTAGAATGCTTTGCTGCCACACTAATCTTTCAAACAGTAATAACTTCTCTTTGACTTAATAAATTAGTTCCAATTTAAATAACCTCAGAATTTTTTTCAGCTGGAGGGCTCCATCCTAACGCAAGTATTGGTTGTCAGCTGGTGACTGACCTCCTTCAGCACTGACCGATGCACTTGATTCGCATGGTCTATGTTCATATTGGTCTAAGGAAATGCAGAAAAATTTTGGCTTAACTTCTCACATAGCATTGCTTGTTCACTACAACCGTAGTGTTTAGTACTGTGTTTAGCTGTAATGTTTTAATTCCATTAAAAATTAACTTTTAATTAAGTTGTTTTTTACTTCCTTATATATGGCAATAAAGTTATTTTTTAGATAGCAAGAAGTGATTATTTTTCCTGCCTGAAAAAAACCCTGGTGTGTCAGAAACATCTGACAATAATACCTCTAACAAGATTCATTGGCAATTAGTACTTTTGATACAGGAGATGATCTTGACAAAATACTTTTAATATTATCTAACTTGTGGTTCATTTTGCCTTCAGATTACGCAGAACCGCTAATCCTCAGTGTAAACTGTATCTTACATTGTTCTTTAAAAGAAAAGTAGTTGTAGCAAATAAAACTGTCAGAATCCTGAATGTTTAAGATTGAAATACATTCTCTACCGTAAAAATGTGGGGAAATCTGGCATTTATGCTTTTTATTTAAGATTTTCTGAGTTTATTGCATCAAGTACTCGAGACAAAAAAGCAAAATGTACTCATACTTACGAAAGGGCAATGGTAAAACTTACCTCCTGGGCTGCAGCTGTAATTAGTAAAATAGGTGGCAGTTGGCACAAAAGTACAATGATAATCTTGAGAATGTTAAGTTTTTTTAAAGGTAAAATGTAATTTTTTTTAAAATAGAAATGTTAATTTTTTTTTTTAGTGTAATCTAGGAAGACATTTTGTCTCTGGAGAATCAGCCAGGTGTTACGCCACTTACCTGTATGTAAGACTTGAACAAGGCAACATCTAGTGCTTTAACTAATATTAAAGAAAGCATTGTTCACCCATGGGTCTTGCTTTATTCTTGAATTATTTTGCTTGGAGATGGCAAGTTCCGTCATACATAGAGGAGTGCAAAATGCTTTGCGGGGGGAGCGCCATGTAATGAAAGTCTCATGGGTCAGTTCATCCCCCTGTTTCTGAACTGGAGATCAATCAGTTTCAGCCTTGTGCGGGTGGAATCAGCTGCCTGCCAGTATGTGCTTGCAGAATGTATGTGGAGGAACTACTGCCATCTCAGCAAAAAATAAGTGAGCTTAGGTTTCTGCACAGTTATCCAAATGGTGTTTGTAACACTTTTTTAATGTTATTGGGGTAATAACTTTGTCCTAGTAACGTGTGAGCCTGTAGATACAGTGTAGTCCTGCTCTGATACCACTACCAGGTTGCCATCTGCAAAGAAAAATCAAACCCTCACTTGAGGCGTAGAAATAGTTAGAGACCAGCTGAAAAATGAAGACTTGATCTCAAAAGAAAAAGATCCTTTGTGAATGTCTTATAAAGCAGCCAAATTCTCATGAGGTCTGAGTGACCAGACAATCTCCGTGGGTGCCTGCCACCCCGCGTCAATCTGTGGTTCTTGTATGTTGCTGATGATTTTGAACGGTGAGCTTGGGTGAGAGGGCCTGCCTCTGATTTGGGGCAGCTTGGTAACACCGGTGTTCAGTCTGAGATAAGAAGAGAAAGAAAATATGTTGTAGGGATTCATAGGAAAGATGATGCTAACAGTCAGTTATAAATGCTCTTCAGGTACAGCTTTTCTTCATTTTTTGCCTAGTGTCTGCATGGGTTTCAGGAGTCCTTTTTAAGCGTGGTTACTCCATCTCCAGTCCCTGTTGATGATGTGGGCTCCGGTGTGTGTGCTCTGGATAGCTGTAAATAAACCCTACAACCTTCTGGATCATGGCAACTTGTGAGAGGCAGGCTGAGCAAACTTGGATCTGAATGTCAGGGGGAAAAGCATAGGCTTTAGGTGAATCCTAAGGAGAAAGGTGGCTAAACATTTTATTTCAGGGGCAGAGTAGGAAAATGGTATGTGGGAATTCTTTGGCTCGCCATGGAGCAAGATGCAAGGAGATGGATGCTGCTGAAGTGAAGGGAGCACAACAATTTAACCTGTAACAGGTGCTGCTTTCATTATGAAACGGGGTAATGAAGCCCTCTTCAGTTTCTTTGTGTCCCTTAGCCTATAAAATTGCTCTCTGTGTAGTAACAAATTCTGATACTGTCTCTGCTTTGTTGGGCAGGACATGGCATTTGCTTGTCTGGGAGCAAGCACGTGTTGCTGCCAACTAATTAAGCCTTTCCTGTCTTCCCAAATTAGAAGCTTTGTAAGCCAAATCAACAAATAAGTGTTCTTTCAAGTTTTATTCACAGAATGACAGGATGCCTGAGGTTGGAAGGGTTGGAGACGCCACCACCTCTCTGGGCAACTTGTGCCAGTGCTCTGTCAGCCTCGCAGGAAAAAGCATTCCCTAATGTTCAGAAGGAACCTCCTGTGTTTCAGTTTGTGCCCATTGCCTTTGGTCCTGTCACTGGGCACCACTGGAAAGAGCTTGGCGCCATCTTCCTTGCACCCTCCCTTCAGGTATTTATATACATTGATGAGATCCCTCTTGACTTACCATAACTATGAATAAACTTCCAATCTGAATAGTGCTTGTGTCCTTTGAAGCATTTTCCTTAGATTTCAAATAATATCAGATCTGTTTGAAATTAGATTTTACCTGATTACAACCAAGTCTCAAGGTCAAGTTATCACATAAAAGCGTGCTTGCACGACCAAGGCCTCTGCTGTCATTGCCATTAGCCTTCCTTGCCACAAGAGCACATTGCTGGCTCATGTTCAACTTGGTGTCCACCAGGACCCCAACGTTCCTTCTCTGCCCAGCTGCTTTCCAGCTGGGTGGCCCCCAGCATGTCCTGGTGCCGGGGTTGTTCCTCCTCAGGTGCAGGACTTTGCACTTCCCCTTGTTGAACTTCATGAGGTTCCTGCCAGCCCATTTCTCGAGCCTGTCCAGGTCCCTCTGGATGGCAGCACAACCCTCTCCTGTATCAGCTACTTCTCCCAGTTGTGTGTCATCTGCAAAGTCGCTGAGGGTACATGCTGTCCCATCATCCAGATCATTACTAGAGATGTTTAACAGGACTGGAGCCAGCACTGACCCCTGCAGTACACTGCTAGTCACTGGCCTCCAACTAGACTTTGTTCCACTGATCAGCACCCTCTGGGCCTGGCCATTCATCCAGTTTTCAATCCCCGTCACTGCTTATCCATCTCACACATGAACAGCTTCTCTGTGGGGATCTTCTTATGGGAGACAGTGTCAAAGGCCTTACTGAAGTCCAGGTAGGCAATATCCACTGCTCTCCCCTCACCTGCCAGGCCAGTCATTTCATGGTAAAAGTTTATCAAGTTGGTCAAACATGACTTCTCCTTGATGAAGCCATGCTGACTACTACTGATGATTTTCTTCTTGTGCCTGGAAATGGTTTCCAGGATTAGCTGCTCCATCACTTTCCCAGGAATCGAGGTGAGGCTGACAGGCCTTTAGTTCCCTGGATCCAGCTTCTTGCCCTTCTTGAAGACAGAAGTGACATTTGCTTTCCACTAGCCTTCAGGCACTTCTCCCCATTGCAATGATTGATCAAAGATTATTGAGAGTGGCCTCGCAATGACATCTGCCAACTCTCACAGCACTTGTGGGTGCATCCCATTAGGGCCCATGGACTTATGTATGTCCAGTTTGCTTAAGTCTTCCCTGACCCGGTCCTCTTCCACCAAGGGTACGTCTTTCTTGCTCCAGACTTTCCCCTTGGTCTCTGGGACTTGGGATGCCTGAAGGCCACTGTTGCTAGTAATACTGAGGCAAAGAAGGCATTCAGCAACGGGCCCACATTTTCCCTAGCCTTTCCCACCTATGTACTTACAGAAG